TCTAGAGCAGCAATTTCTAAATATACTTTTTCCCAGTCGCGGTTTAAATCTCGCAAAAGTGGAGTCGGTTGAGTGTTTAATTCGTACCAAAGCCGACTTGTAAAATCACCGTGTGGATAGTTTGTCGCATAATGAGTCTCGTTCGCGGTTTTTCGCTTCGCTAGACGAAAATGTCGGGGTTGTTGCAATAATTCACCGGCGAGAATATGTATATTAGCGTCGAGCGACTTATTGAGCGTCGATACCCACGCTTATCGAACGCGGGGAAAATACACGCTGATCGGGATAATTATGACGCGATACATAACATTAGCGCGTACTCGTAGAACCTGATTCGGAGTACCTACATCATCGTTTCGAGCGAGCGTTACGAATCGCGTGGACGCGAGTTCTTAAGGGGAAAACCAAATTAGTAGGCCGAGCATTTAGTATTTCTTGGAATGTGTGTGTGTGTGTGTGTTTTTTTTCTTTTTTACTGAGTAGAAAGTTTTCGTAACTTTGAGGATATTTTTCGGTACGTTTCGAAGTGCACTTGGTGATTTTTTCGATTCGTTTCACAGAAAAATCTTTGAGATATCAGATGTTGTCTAGAGCAAGTTTTTAAGGTTGGAATTGCTTTCTTCGAGCCGAGAAAGCGGTTTCTTGTTCATTTTTTATTGAGGAAAGTATGCGAGTTTTTAATTTGATATTTTACACGAGATTTTGGTACTACTTCAGCACGATGCACAAATTTTTATAAGAAGATTTAGCCGATAATGTAAATGTTACAAGCCTTTGACTGTAACGCTGTACAATAAACATTGGCCACATTCGAGTACATTTATTTTTAAAAGGGAGACGATCCACCGTACCTCTCGAAAGCAGAATTTTGAATTGAAATTTTGCACAATTGCGAAAAGAAGCAATTCCCGCTTTAAACATCTCCTCGTACAAATCGTAAACTTCCGCTTCCTGCGGGGACGAAGTGCGCGTCCTGGTAGTATTTCCTCGTTACCTTTCTTCCCTCTATTTTTTCCAACGTTTCGTATCCTCGAATTACGGTGCGCTGCTACGCGTTGGTCGCGTGCTAAATTACCATTCCGAAACTTTACGAAGAGGCGAAGAAACTTTCTGCTAGTTTTCGCGGTGAGGTCGAAAGGAGTCAACCGGTGGTCAACGAGAATGGAATACTAACTAGAAACGCCATTACTTAAAATAAAATTAAAAAAAAAAAAAAAAAAGTGACACCGCGTCCCTCGAGCGATTCAAAGTGGTTCCGCGCAAATCGACGGGGAAGCGCGTTCGAGCTCGTCAGTCAAATATTAGAAAAGCAAGATTGAGAAAACGAAACGATCAAATATTCGCGCTGAGGCTAAATATTCATACATTTAACGCGAGTGAACGCGTTGCGTAATGTGTTCCACAGAAATATCGATACGACGTTCCGGAGATGTTTAGTAAATTTCGGGATTTCGCGTCGGAGGACGTAGCGACGCAAATTCTTCGAGTAAATTGAATTTTTTTCCCCCGGCCTCTGTGCAAAGGAAGAACGGGACAAATTGAATGGCAACGTGGAAATATTATATCTCGCCCGAGATCCGACTTATTTTTCGCCTTCGATTCACACTTCGTTGATTCCGATACGATGCTTGATCGCCTCGCAATACCATCCCTCGCGACCTTATTCAATGTATCCGATAATACCTGAATCCCGATCCTCGCCTTCCAAGAAGTAGCCGTGCGTTTGATGAACGTTATTAGACGAACGGTAACGAAACTCGATCGCGATATAACAAAGGCTTGTGTAGGTGCCTGTTCTCCAGTTTGTTCCATTACGACGCTAACATCAATCTATACGAAGTTGCGCGATTTTTCTTAATTTATTCCCGAGACTTGTTGCCATAGCATTGCTCTAAGGAGGAATAAACGAGGTTTATTTAGGGTTTCTTCGATGTCCAAATAGATGTACAGTTAGTCTCGTAAGTATTCCGAACCATCTATGTTCATTTGAGACATTTGTGTGAATCGAATGGTAGGTTTGATATTTTTAAATACATGTTTCGTTATAAATATGTGTATAAAGAGACTTTACTGTTTATAATGAAGAATTTAATTTGTAACACCAAACCTATTTAATGTAGATAAACTTCCTCGATAGACACAGAGAGCACGAATTATTATAGAAATGACCAAAATTGCGAAGCATGCACTAAGAAATACCGTGAAACTGACTATCAGAGAATTATCCGTCTATTCCTAAAAGATTCATAACTACGCTCCTTTTTTCGGACCGTCCTAGGTAGGTTTGCCGTGAAATATCCTTGTATCGCTATTTTCATCAGATCTGCCGTGGTCGGGGCATTGTTAATAATTCTGGGACAATTATAGCGTAGGTTAAAGCCGGGAAAACCGACCAAACCGTATACCTTTAATACCTCCCGGCCTTAGCAAGGTCGCGAAGCTTTAGTGGAAAGTTCACGATATTGCGTGTGAATTCTGTGCGGTGACAAACATCCATGCGACGGTGCTCGGACGTGAATCGTCCCCTCGAGTTTACTGCGGAGGACGAGGACACTTGGTGTGTGCGATTGCATTTGTCAATACGCTAATCTTCGCGCATTGTTGTGGTTCCGCTGTGTCTCTCGTTGTACGTGGTACCAAACGTGTGCGCCACGCGCGAGCCATTGTATAGGTAAACACGAAACTTATGTGTTTTACGTGGCCGCGTATAGATATACATATACCGTGGCGCACACGTTATGTATATACAAGCGTATCGTCGAGCACGCGAGCTAGCTTGTCGCGCTTATTCTGTTTATGCCTCGCGGTATTCAGGCTAACGACGAGTTTGTTGTCCGTCGAGAGTTTCTGCTTGATCTTCGGGAAGGAGTCGAAAAATAAAAAATAAAAATAAAGGTCGACGCGTGAGAGAACGTATGGAATATCGGCACGAGACGGTCGTTTACGTCGCGTTTGAATCACAGCGACTAACGAGGAACATCTTACCGATTGTAACTCGATGCAAGGGTTGGGGCGTTGAAAAATATTTCACGTGTATCGTTTTATGGGGAATTACGTTCGTGGAAAGGGACGGAGAAAGTATCCTAGAAGTTGCGAATCGATGTTTAACACTAGGTTTACGAAGGCTCATTTTAGTCCATTACAAATTTCGTCAAGGTTTTGACAAAAACTGTTTACATTTTACGTCCAACCACTTATGCTTACTCTTATCTATGCAGAGAGACTAGCATCACCAAATTCATTTTTCTCGGAGTTCACTTACCGAAGCATTACTTCAGTACGTGATAGAAAACAGATAAAAAAAATCTCTGCAAACCTAGTGTCACTTTAATTTCTCAGATACCGAGGGAGGAAGGACGAAAATTGTATGTAAAACAAAAGTTTGGTTTTTAATGAATAGCAACGTGTGGTCTGAATAGAAATGTTGGCAAAGAGCATAGGTGACGGTACCGTTGATGTAAGAGGATTGGTTGCAATGCTTTCCTCCCTTACTGGGAAAGTAAAGAATTAAATAAAAGATTTCTTGTCAGATGCTGTTCCGCAACGACGTTGGACGGTGATCGATGCTAATGGACCAACGCGAATATCCCAGAAAGCTTGAGAAAGCATCGAAGGGAAATTCGCAAGCGTACGTTACGGGACAAACAAGATTTTCGCGGGTGGGGATGAAATTTCAAGACTATCAGCTTCTTTTACCTTTCACAGAAAACTGTTATAATTCCTATCTATTGCAAACGTAAGTTCAGTGGATTTACGCTTTAACGAGGAAACAGTGTAAGATAAAAGGTCGTCTAATTCAACATGCAACAAAGAAATCTTGAATATCGTAGAAAAACGAAACGTCAAATGCATTTTCAAGATTACTTCATTACTCGTTTGCGAGATTAAACGGTATTGCGTGGCGAGGAAAACTTTCATTTGCGTTCTTTGTACAAAGAAATATTCTTAATGTTATTTTATGATAATTGTCCTCTATAAATCAAATGTTTATAATTCCCCAGGGAATTTCGCTGGAAATAATTTTGTTTTTTGATTTAACAAAGGTCTTACACGTGTAATTTGCTTGGTGCTTGGTCCGATAATAAATGAGAGTCAAAAGAAATTTTGATCTGACTCTTTCCTATAACTCTATTCTACTCTTTCCTATTAATGTATGCGAATAAATGTGCTGAAAAATAACAATATTTAAAAATTAGTAAGAATTAGTACACTTTGTTTCTATTCTTACTAATTTAATTTTCAAATCCTCTCATTCGGTATACATAATTTTCTATACATTATTTATGTCATTTATTCGTAGAATCTTTTTCTAATAACCTACATCATCCAAATCCTTTCTTTTTTTCTTCATTTATCATTACCATCTCAACCAATTTACACACGCAGGAACAACTTTCAATAACCTTCTTTACGATTGTTTCCTAGAGTAAATTACTCATACAGCTGGGAAGTGTATCACCAGCGTGAGACACGTAATCTGAGGTGGTTAGTCAACATGAACATTTCTACATCCGTGACGCATGTAATTTTCCACTACGACCAAACAATGGAAGACACGATTACTCGATCTCTTAAATATTTTGACCAACAAGATTTCAAAGATCCATATATGGGTGACGTGACGATCAACGTGTTAAGGGATAGACACGTGTTAATTGTTTTCAACCATTCCAATATATTCAGACGTGTACCACCTACCAAAAATCGACACGGACTTTCCAGACAAACTAATATAACATTCACGTGTATAATATTGGGCTGTCTGAAAAGTCCATGCCGATTTTTAGTAGGAGGTACAGGTCTGAATATATCGGAATGGCTGAAAATAAATAAAATGTGTACATTCCTTAACAGGTGGAAAGGTTGTGGAACAAAATGGTACATATATAATTCGATAAATATACATCAAAATTCAAATATGCCTTTGAATTTTTCTTAAAAATAGGAATGACCTTTCCGGACAACACAATATTAAATTATTCGTAAACAGAGGTACTCACCTTGATGCCGCTCCGTCTCTGTTGCTTCAAAAGAACGTTCTCCGGCTTCATGTCGCAGTGAATGATTTTGTTCTTGTAGAGAGCGTCGAGGCACTGAAGCAACGAGTGCGCGAACCTCCTGACGAGCTGCATGCTGAAGCCCTGGAACTTGTTCTTCTTGATCAGCTCGTACAGGTTCATACTGAGCAATTCGAAGGTGATGCACGTATGGAAACGGAACGTGAACGAGTCGAACATGTGTATAATATTCATCGTGTCGTTCTTGTCCTGTTCCCGAAGCTTCCTCAATATCCTGATCTCCTCCTGAGCCTGACGATGGAACCTCTTCTCGTTCCTGACCATCTTCAACGCGACGAGTTCCAGCATCTTGTGATCGTACGCTTTCACCACTTGACCGAACGAACCCTTGCCGATCACCCTGAGCACCTCGTACCTGTAGGCCACGTGATCATGGGTCACGTGGATGTAGGAACCCTGATCGTTGTCGTAGTCGTTGTTGTTCGGTCGGCCGATGATGCCCGGCCTTTTCTTCGCGTTCGACCCGATGAAGTATATCTGCGGGTAGGCGAAGACCTCGGTGTGCTCGTAAGGAGTGAGCTTGTCCGAGAATAACTTCAACGCCACCTCAGGAGTGATGGCGAGTCTCCTCGCTTTGCCGCTAGCGGTGCCGCTGGAACTACCGTCGGCGCGTCCGTTCTTCACCAGGGCGGTGCTCGTCTGACTGTTGGGCTGCGTGTGCGAGTTGTGACTGGAATTGTGACTGGAATTTTGACTCGAATTGTGGCTCGAATTGTGGCTCGAATTGTGACTGGTGTACGAGCCCAGGCTGAGATTCAGGCTGTCCGAGTTCCCGATCAGGCTCAGCAGGCTGTTGTTGGCGCTCGAGCTCAAGCTTGGCAGGTGAGTGCCGACCATGTGACCGGGATGAGCCAAGTGACTAGGCGACGACTCGCTGGTGGGCTGCTTCAGGACCAACGGCGTGAAGGGCTTGTTGGCCTTCAACGGTGGCAGATGATTGTTCTCGTTCGACGAGATGTACGTCTGCGTCAGCATCGTGCTCGCGGGTACGAACGAATTCGGTCTTGACAGGGGCATCTCGATTGTGCTTGCCGATATCGTTAAGCTAGTCATTTGTGTCCATTTGACGGTGATTTAGAAGCGTGTGGTTTACTCGTCTTCTTTTCGAACAGAGTTTACCTCCGAGAGATCCACTTCCGTCTTCTACGATACCTCGGTGTTTGTCATCGCGACCGTTCGACGATTACTCGTACAGATAAGATAAGGAACAATCGGACCCATCGATCGCAAATATATGATTGTGCCCTCTCAACGTCTCGTTATTCCCACGCTAGCGATATTCTCTGACGCGTTACAATGTATTGTCGTTTGGATATAAAACATGTTGGTTCATTATGGTTAACGCTAGCCGAGCAGAATCGTTATACGTAGCTCGTCTCGTAGAAATTCTCTAGACTTCGCGGATCCACGGTCGATTTATCGTGGGAAGGTGCGAAGCTTCATCTGCCGTCGAACGGACGCTTCGCGACGATACGTGGTTCTATGTTTCTTTTCTTTCCTTTCTTTTCTTTTTTATTTTATTTTAAATAAATTAATCGACTAATTAACGCGATACTTTCAGTCTCGTTCTCGTCTGTGTCGAAATATGAATGCGTGAAATGCTTCTTTTCTTTTTCTGTTTTGTTCCAGTGCGACGAAGTTCGAAAATTATGTCTCTCTCGAAACGTGGCCAAACGTGTTCCCGACGGACGGGCCCCTCGACGAGTGCGCAGCGTCGGACTCGTTAGAAATCACTCGACGGGATGTTTCTCGATCCCAAAACACCGGAGCGTGAAGACTCGGCACACGTGCGGTTCGAAATAAAATCGATCGTCTAAAAATATTTTGTCGAGAAAAAAAAAAAAAGACTCGATGTAAATGCAGCGGACTAGAAATTGCGACGCAATTCGCTTGGCGACGATATGAGCGGTATGATGACCGACCCCCTCCGGTTGGTGTCTTGGGTCTATTTTTTTCTATTCTCTTTGTTCGGGTGGTTTCGTTCGTCACGAGAACGCACCCCTCGGCACGGCCACGACGCACGAATGAGAAAAATAAGAGGAACTATGAACCCACCGTCTGACGTCACTTCCGACCACGCACAGCTGTCTACCCCCCTGGGAATTATTCATCCAACTCGTATTAATTCCCTTCGTCGCTTGACCCTTCGCTCGTTACCACCAGCCAGTGTCTCCACCTTCTTTACCGCATGGAAACGATGTGCTCCTTTTACCTTCGTGCGAGCTTTCGAACGTCTAATTTTATAATCTATCGTGCACGAGGGCAAACGCATCGTGCGAAAACTGTCTACCTCCTAACCGGAAGTTATTGGCACCGGGCCGACCAAGTTTGACCACTTCGCTCCATCGAACCTTTTCCTTTGCTCCGCGAAACGTATATCTCCAATGGAAACTCGTGCGCGTATCTTTGACTTTGCGAATCGCTCTTCACCGCTTCGATAGACGCTATCCGACAGATTCGCCTTTCTCGAACCGTAATCACTGACCAGAAGCGCCATACGATTCGTATCGGACGACTCGTCGCAAGGATCCGTGGATTTTCGTCATCAGACGCGTCCTCGTCGTGCACGATTCTCGATCGTCGATGTTTGTCGATACATTTCAACGACCGTAATTCTTCGCATCCCGAGACTTTACGATTCGCGTGATTACGATTGAAAGAAATTTTCGAGTGTTCGCGAGAACAGTTATTCGTGGTATCGATTGAACATTATATCTTCTATTTACAATGCGTCGAGGAATTGATCGATAATTCGCGCGTGCTTGTCGCCGAATCGTTCACATTCTATACGATCGAATTCAAAGAAACTTTGTCATCGTCACCGGCATCGAATCATGCGAAATTCCACCGGCACCGACATATCATATCACCCCTGCGGCGGCTCCAAGCCGAAATCGAGCCACCGTGTTGCCAGACGATATACTGAATTTCTCGCACGCTCGGTCGTGGACCCCGTACGCATGAAAATCGAAGCAAACACCGCGAACACGAAGAACGTGGCCGCACCTTGATAACTGTTTACAAGTGAAACTCAGTTCTCTCGGCATTAATCGTTCCGACTCCTGTATCCGGGTGCTTGTTCACTGAGAACCAGACGAATCGGAGAAATGGGTGGATGTGTACAGGAACGACGAATTTTTTTCATGGAAACAAAGACGACACGAAGCGGAGTTCGTCGCTTCTGGCACACTGACTGGCTGGCTGGCTAGCTGGCTGGCTGACTCTCTTTCTCCCTCCTCTCGCCACGCCGCGTCTTCTATCTCTCTCGCGCCGCCACCATGTTTATTCTTTTTGTACCCCCGTTAAACGTTGTGTCAGGACGGTTTAGAAGGGGTAGACGACCAGCCAAACGGATGAACCGGCCAGACTAAATCGCCGATGCACGATCTCGCGTTCTATTTGCCTTTCGAAGCCCTTAGGAATCGAACAAAAGCGACGCGACGTAAGAAATCTTCACGGTTAGGCGATGTTGCACGACGCTTCCGGTGGTAAAGACCCCTCCATCGTGATTTTCGCGATTATCGAGACGAGACTGCTTTCATTCCCGCGATGTCTCCTGTGTACCTGTATATTCGATATACAGGTGTTTTTGTTGCCCCTTCCCCGTTCCTCGGTGTCTAGCACGCGTGCATTAATGATGTTGCTCGTTCAATTCCGATGAGCGGTCGGTAACGCTTCTTTTGTCGCGTACGACTCCAATTTTTTTTTTACTCAATTCCGGCACAAGTTTTCACTGAGAAATTAACACTACCGACTCACAAGGCACTCAAGTCGCGAGCACTATTTCTCTATTCATAAAGAAACGCCTGCTGCGACACCCACGCATGCACTCTCACGTACACGACAGTTGTGCTAGCCGCACGCACAGATGTCCACACGTATTCCTGTTTCGAAGCCAAAGGGAGGCCATAAACTGAAACTTTACCTAGATGGTTATCGACCGCGATAGGTTAGACGCGGTGTTTCTTATTGAACGATACCGGTAAAATTATTTTGGGTTAGTTCGTTGGAAAACTATTTATATCACTCGACATCTTGTCTTAATACAGTTCGTTCTAATGCGAGGAGTGTGTATATCGCGTAATAATAATAATTCGTACTTTTATGACTCCCTTGACCCTTCTTTGTTTACTACGTAGCTCGTGACAGACTCGCGTTTGAAGAGACAATGAGGGGAGAATCGCAGCGTGGTCGAATATAAAACCTTCGCCAAGTGCTAGAGGGCAGCACCTGGCAATACGAACATATGTTATCATTAGTATCCACAGAACCTAACCTGAGCTTCAACAGTCAGAGCAGGGCAGAGGCATTATTTTGACCCGTCAAGAATACTTTCATAAGCTTACAGCTGATATCGTGTCGAATACGTCGTAGTAAATAATAGTGCAACCGAGATGAATTTAACGCCAAAGACGTTTAAAGAAAAACGTTCGTTCGGTAAGTATAATTTGTATTATATCGAGTATATATTTGTTTTTACATGTAATATTAAACAAAAACTGTACAAAATATAGACAGTTTTCCTTTGCGATGTTTTGCTTCTTTTGTGGCATAGTATGCTTTTGTTGTACTGATTATTCGAGTTACGTATTCTCGTATAATCTTAACACAGAAACTACTCATTTTGTAACGAATATGCATAATTAATACGAATAAGTTATATAATATGTTTAAAAATATTATTGATTATACTTTTCTTTTTTACTCAAAATTTCATAAAACTGTAGCGCAACGAGTTGCTGATGTAGAATTGATTAAAGAACAACATCCAAGTAAAATACCTATTATCGTTGAACGATATTATGGGGAAAAGCAGCTACCAGAGCCGGACAAGTCCAAATTTTTGGTGCCAGATTACTTAACTGTAGCAGAACTTATAAAAATAATTCGGTATGCTTTAATATATTTTATATTGTAATTTACCTAAAATATCTTTATCTAACTCATGGTTAATAAAAACTGTTTGTTGACAATAATCTACAGACGTAGGCTACAGCTTCACCCAACGCAGGCATTTTTTCTATTAGTAAACCAAAGAAGTATGGCAAGCGGTAGTATGACTATGGCACAACTTTATCAAAGAGAAAAAGATGAAGATGGCTTCCTTTACATAGTATTTGCTAGTCAAGAAGTATTTGGGTGTTAAATGCACTAATATAGTATAAAAGTGAGTTTAGATAATTACAAAAATTTGGTTTAATTTGGAATCATTAATTTCAATCATATATAATAATAGAATAATTATAATTTTCTTTGGGTATTACAACTTGTAGGTAAAATCAAATTTTTGTTGGGGATATACTATGTGCTAAATATTGTTAAGGACCCTTAGAAAGGACTTTAGATCTGCTGTTACTTATGTCTGCCTTTAACCGAATATGCAGAATCTTTGTGATCGACTTGCAGTACCTGCTGAAATTATTAACAAAACAATCATAATTGACACTTGTGTGTTAAATTGTTACGGTGCTTTGGGCCTTCAGCATATGCATCAATCATATTTTATATGTTAATATATAAAATTAACTTAGTTTGTTATTGATGACAGTACTTTTTATTTTGAACAATGACAAACTAAAACAATGAGACGTTAAACATATCTAAAGGAATTATTCTTAATAGGTAAGGAAATTACCTATATAAATTTTGCAGCTAGTATCGTTAGGTTTTGTTTGCTTTACATCTCATGAATATAATAAAATTTAAGCATGTGTGAAAAAAGAAATATAATTGTATAAATAATACAGTATGAGTAGTGGCCAGTTATACTTGACAAACAGTGTATTGTATCTACAAAGAAAACTGAAATCGAACATTTCGTCTGTATTTTTATTATTATATAAATGTCTAAAATGTTATCACAATTATGTGTTATAATTTATAAATACAGTAAATGGTTCAAATTCTCAGTAGATGTATGAAATTTTAGGTGACGAAAGGATAAGTTTTTTACATTATTTGGAATGGTACCTACAAATGAAAACAACTGGTAGGCCGAAATCTGTTCTTATATTCAAAGATACTGAAATATTAATGAAAGTGTTCATGTGTACAGTTACACAATATGCAACATGTATTGGTATGTGATAATGTTATTAGACTTTAACCAATTTACCAACTATAACACTATTATGAACTTTTATTCACATAATATCTTTTGCTATTTGATACTTATAATACGTGAAATTTAATATTTTGAATTACATTTTAAATTTGAAAAAGTTTGAAGCGCACTTGTCTTTTATTTTCATATTAGTAAATTAAATAAGAAACAAAAGTACCTGGCATTACAGTTAATGATGAATATAATTGATTATTGTACCAATAAGAGAAATCTACAAGACTTGAAAACCCAACAGTAGACAAAAATGTTGACCTTGACTAATTTCGTTGATATTAACATTCTATCGCGAAGTTTCTTTATTAATGTAAATAAATCATAGCATTTTACATGAGTTATAGCGAACAAATATTCAAAGAATATATAATTACGTGATTTTAGGTTATATATACCATTTAAATCGAATTATATTCGATATTTCAAGATGATATTACTATTAATAGTATATGTTTTTAAAGTGATTTTAGACAACAACAAAAATCGACTTTCACTTTGATTTGTGGTATTTAGACCTTAATTTGATTACATTAAACTTTCTAGAGGAATAACAACAAAAACAGGGCTTTCTGCAAATATTACTAAATATCTGTAAAAATCTAATAGTGATACGATAATAAAGATAAGAATTTTATTAATTCATAGGTAAATGTATATTTCAATAATGATAAAATGGTAATGATAGTATATACAACATTAGTGATGCTACTACGGATATTCACGATATGATATGCTTTATTAATACTTGTACAATGACTTAGTGTATTACACATATTATGTAAAAAATTATTTGCAATAAATAAATTTTGCAATATACAGCATTTTATCATTACGATTCTTTCTACCCTTAGAAATTGTTGTATATTCTCGTTTGAAAACAATTTTAAATGATAATATGGCAACTTCCTTTTCCATCATGGCGATACTTCCTACCACTAGTTCCCGAGTTTGCCGAGAACTTGGCGCGACGTACAATTTCCCCAACACGGGTTCGAAACCACCAATCTGTATGCGACCGCGTATCGATGCCAGTAAATGCAATGTCGGGTGGGTATAAAGGTGAGCGGTGGGGTTAGGCACGGGGGGGAAAGAGGCAAAGAAAAGGTAAAGGTTAGAAGAGGTTATGAACTCTAACCCACGGATGGTTGACGAAGCTTAGTTGTTGCTATGAACTGTCCAAATGACGCGTAGTCAGATCACTCGTCGTTGTTAATAATAAAGGTAAGTCTACACAAGAATTACTTGTTTACCTCTGTTTAGCTTTTCGTTACCCTACCTACGATAAAGATACATGAAATTCCGAACGATGGCTCGCCCACGTCGTACCAATCTGTGCACGTCCCGCTTAGTGCGTTACACATTGCAAAACCTATCTTTTCTATCATACGGAATGTTAGTAAATAAAAGATCACGTTCACTTAGGCGAGACGACACACTAATCATGTGATATTTTGACATTACCATCGTGCAATCGCGCGTTCCGTCGATAATAAGGTCGCTTTGTTGGTGTTTTTATTTGCTTTCTATCCAGGTGAATTTTTCCAGTAATCTTACGTTTTTGTCTTACGTTCGACTCGAGCGCAGTGTTTCAGGTGTGTTTTGAAATAGAAATAGGTGGTCAGGTTTCTTTACCCTAGAATCGATCGGAACGTTTAAAAACGAACAAACTCGTACGAAATGTTACAAAAACTAGGAACATCGTTTCTTATCTTTAAGAACAAAAGGGGTGACGTCATTATAAATTCTTGTGGAGTATGACGTGTGGAACAATGTAGAAATGATATACGATAACATTTGAATGACTAAAGAAACGATGCGAGATTAGTATTGTAATTTAACGCAATGAGTAGGATACAAGTTAAATCTGTGTCGATGCGGTGATCGAGTAGGTAGGAGGTAACCTTCGGACCCACGAGCGACCTTTACCTGTGAAGTCCGGTCGTATAGAAATAATTACTCTCGAGTGACTATTCTTCTTCACTGATGCTGTTCCAAGAAGTCTCTAGCTAACTAGGAATGACCACTCGAAAGGTTATAAGGCAATGTGGTATTTTTAAAAGGTGATACGTAATTTAACTGACGGAAATAAAGGAATTATTTTTAAGAAAATAAAACGTACAATCACTTAGGTCAAAATTATACAAGATTGTTATCGCGATTTCTTTTGATCCCTTATGCGCTGAAATTGGTATGTACCTATTTTATCAAATATTATTTCTCGTATCTTACCGTACGATTAATGTAGATCATTTTTTAACAATATTCATCACGAGCATCATACGATAAAATAAAACGTACGTAAAATCGATGTCGGTTAAAAGCTACTTTTTGTAAATGTAGTTACGTTTTTATCTGAAAAATATCGAGATAGTGAAGAAATTTTTGATAGCGCGCGGCTACGTTTACGCAATTAACCGTTTGTATTTGACAGTGGCGCATCATACCTTTATGGGGTTCGAGAACAAAAATTTAGGGCCTGATTTGAAGGAAAAACGAGGGAAGGACGTTTTTAATTAATTTCTACTATGCCTAATAGGAGCACACAGGTGCGATGGTGTATCAAGTTAGAAGATGAATTTTTGAAATTAAGGGCCCCTGGGGCAGATGTGTTTTTTTTTGTGTGCAGGTTTAATGCGCCACTGGTGTTTGACCTATTCTCAATCGACGTCGCGACCTCGAGCCTCAACCGATAAGTCATCGCGGGCGTGTATTACGTGACATAACCTGTAACGCTCGTCGAGAGGCCGCTATGCGGTCCTCCACGGCGAATGCTCTCGCTCAGGTAGAAAAGCAGGCAAGCGGGGCGAGAATGCACCTGGCCGGTGTGTCTTGGCGGTACACGAGAGAGTGACCTGCCAACCTGCCAGTACAGCGAACGGTCTGGCTGCGTTCACCTGCGCAAGGTTGCCTTTAAACTTCGACGTTGGAGTTTTCGTGTCCGACCCGTTCGAACAAAGTGAAAAAACGTCTCTACGTGTCCGCCGCGTACGTGTTTGGTCGTTTTCCCGTGGCCTTCTTCGCCGTTAGTTAAGCGAAAAGATCGTTTTTTTGAAACGTAAATATATTCCGCGCGTATTACCGCGTGGCTGGCTACGTTATATTTTCAGAACCGTGCGTGACCCGTGAGAGCGCCAACGCCGACACACGCAAATGCGGTGATACAGGTCGACCCAACAGGTAGTGTATTCTGCGCACCGTCCTCGAACTTTAATGTAAAACACGCCGCACGTATTCTAAGGTCGGTGGAAAGGAACGTTGCGAGTCGTTCCATGAAAATATTTTCAATCTTCGAACAGTGTAAAACGACGAAAACAAGTAACCAATTTTTCACAAACGCACGGGCGTCCGTAGTTTCACACCTTTGGCTCGAGTTGACCTTTCCCCGAGTTAATAACCATATTTCGACTCGCTGCTCGATGGACTTCACACAGTGGCGCACGAAATTCCGTTCAAGATACAATCTCTGGAACACGTACGATAAAGACACTTGAGATAAAAGCCGGATAGAAATGATACGATTAAGTGTAGCGTATACTAGTGTAGATTATTTTCCGTCTTGATCGATGTTTTAAGTCCAGGTTGATATAATTACTTATACTACCAACAAAACATATGATGTTTGACTTAGCAGTGTAAACAATATTGTCAGAAAATTCGTATTTGCAAGAAGAAGTTACACGAAGGTTAAGAATAACTGAAGATTGTAAAAACATACTCCCACGGCTACAAGTTTCCAAATAGAAATATAAAAATTCGGTAAATATGTCAAATCTCAACCGAATGTTCTTCTTGTCAAGTAGAATACGTTAATGTTTAACGGTGCCGCGTTTGGAAAAAAAGGGACTGGTGTCGAATTACTGTCATGAGATTCTTAATAACGAAAAAGAAATGACGTTGAATTTCATGCGTGACACTTCCGCGAGATCGAATATACATGTAGTATTATTGATCGCGAAGGTAGTGCTGTGCAACCGACGATATTTATTTAAAAGGCTCGATTCCGGTTGGAATTTTGAATCGCGTGTTTCGTTAGGAAGTAGCTACCGGGTTTCCAAGTTGAAAGTTTATCGTGATTAGAAAGGGTGGCAGAGAACGTTCCTGTAATACGATGTAACGAGCGCGAGGTCTAAGAATGTTAACTATTCGGGGCGAACGGTACAGGCACCGTTTTCTCGTGTTACTGCACTGCGACAGTGGTGACGAAGTCGGATCACGAGTGTATGGAAATGGACCATTCGCTCTATGACAGCCAGCGTAGCATGGCTGTGGTATCGACATGCGCCTAACCGCGTAGCAACCTACGAACCGAAGAACTCGGGACCCATCTCTTTCACTTCTTAAAATGGTAGGAGGAAAGGGTTGCGGCGGGTAGGGGCGGACGGCAAATGCTCCAGTTTTCATTTTTATACCGTGCCGATGTTTAGGCCTTTAAACGATACAATCTGGCTGCCTAGATAGGATCCGACTATACACAATCACGATTTGCCCCGATCATATTCGTTGGAACGTTTTCTTTTAATATCAAAATGTCACGCAATGCTCGCAGGAAATGGTACGTTTGTTTAGGGGCATCATTTTCGAGTCAACGTAATCAGGAATATCGAGTACTTCTTGCAAGGGCAGTTTGGCAACTCGAGAATTTATAAAAATGTTAAGCTCAACAGAAATGTAGTTCAAATGATCCTAGTAACGTATCTATTTTTTGTTTCGACAGTGAAACGATCTTAGAGAGATTTCTTAAACCTTTTATGAAATTACGAGTCCTCGAGAGGTTATGGATGTTTTTATGTTAAGAATCGATAAAAAATAAATTGATCTGTACCATTTAAAATGATTGAAAAATAATTCCTACACCTAATAGCGATATCTTGGGATACTATTTTTCTTTGACGGTATTTCTGTGAATGTCACGTACGAAACTCAAGTGGCATTTTTGTCTGTCGAACTTTACGTCATTGAACGACAAGCAGACACCGATTGTTTAGGAAACACGTACCGCGCGTACTGTGACGTCAGCGTAAAAATATTTTGCGATTACACGTATCGCAACGATGTGGTTTTTTTTACAGAAAGAAATGGACAGGGATCATAGGGAACAACGAGATCACGATAATTTAAATGAAATCGAGGGGGAACGAAAAATAGGAATGGATTTTCGTAATTTGTCTCATCACCATGGCGTGGATCATGTAGCTGATGTCGAATCGGAGGTGTTTATTATTTACCTTCTTTTTTTTTATTAGTGCCTCTTTAAAAAAATATTTGTAGAATTCAAAACAATTTTTTCTGTACAATCTTCTTCACCAATGTTCTCGTAATAGCAAAATATTTTTATGAAGAAATGTTTTTCATTTCTAATTTTAAATTCCTATCTTAGGAATAATTTTCTCTGAATTTTACAAATTATTTACGTTGTCCTCTTATTCATATGATCATACGAATTATTATTTTTATTCAAAATTCCTTTCGAGAAAAAAAAAATAAGCTTCACGTTCGTCAAAATTATTTCCTACAACTTCGATCTTTTTTCTTTTATTACAGCAAGATATGAAAGTTGATCAAAACAATTGCTTTGAATATCTACATGATGATAAAATAGATCAGAACTTAGGAAGAAATTTTCTTAATGTAGCGCATCATCTCGCTATGGTGCGTTTGCGATGTATTAATTTGTTTAAATGTCAAGAATAAAATCGTGTGACTTCTACGATCTTTTCTTTTTGGATTGATTGACATCATAAATTTTCGATATATTTTCAGAGAGACATGGAACGGGATCAGAACAACCACGTTGATAACGTACACGATGAGAAAGTCGACCATAAAATGGGTAGAGATTTTCGTAACTTAGGATCTCATGCTGGCATGGTTCACTTACACTCGGGAATGGAGCATTTAAATAATGTCGACGTAGAAGTATGATTTTTTACTTATTTTTTATGTTTTTACAAATTTTATATTTATTTTATACTTGATTGGTTTTCAGGTAAAATTGGCCAGAGATGTTCGTGGCTCTTTAGGTTTGGGACTATCGCTAGAATTGTGTGTAGTCTGTGGAGACAGGGCTAGTGGAAGACACTATGGAGCAATAAGTTGCGAGGGTTGCAAAGGTTTCTTTAAACGTAGTATTCGAAAACAATTGGGTTATCAATGCAGAGGAAGCAAAAGTTGCGAAGTTACCAAACACCATAGAAATCGGTGTCAGTATTGTAGACTTCAGAAATGCCTTGCAATGGGGATGAGGAGTGACTGTATGTCTGTTTGGAGTATCATATGTAACACTGAAATGTCTTTTATATATTTAATAATTACCCTAAGTCACATAAAATATGATGTAAACATGAATTTTGAACATTGCAGCTGTTCAACACGAGAGAAAACCAGTTTTGGGTGAATCAGCGGGAGCAAAAGTCGGAAATCGAAGCCCTAGAGTTAAACCAGAACCACAGCAATCAGTATCTGAAACACCTTCGACCTGGGAGCAACCCGAAAGTCCTAGTATGGAAGATCAAAGTAGTGATAGTGACCTCAGCGATGCGTTAACATTAGCAAGAGAACGGTTACTTATTTCACATGCATTGGATAGCATGGCTAAGCTTATTGGAGATGTATGTTTCATTTATGTGATACAATTCTATTTATGCGATACTACAGTTACGTTTATGATAATACTGTATATTCTTATTTAGAGCGTTAATGGTTCAAGTGAACCAGAAGAAGAGTGGACTGGTCAGTTAATTTCTGAAAGGCATACGCTATTTGAGTTAAGAGCACCTAGCCCAGCCCCCGCGTACTTATCGATACACTATATTTGCGAGAGTGCTGCTAGATTACTTTTTCTGTCAGTTCACTGGGCAAGAGGAATTCCCGCGTTCCAAGCATTACCGTACGTAATTAAAAGATGCGAATATTAAGTGAAGTTACGAACATGATCATTGCAATCTCGTGCCTTTATTATAGATCCGAAGTTCAAACAACATTGGTACGCACTTCCTGGGGACAGCTTTTTACTTTAGGTCTTGCACAATGTGCATACACTCTGTCTCTTCCTAGTATTTTAACATCAATAATAAATCATTTACAAGCTAGTATTGCACAGGAAAAAATTACAGCTAGTAAAGTAAAATCCGTAACAGAACATATATGTAGACTACAAGATTGCGTTAGTTCACTTCATAAGTTACAAGTGGATTCTATTGAATATGCGTACCTTAAAGCGTTAACGCTTTTCAGTGCTGGTGAGTAACATAAAGCTTTTCGTTGTAAATATAATCCTATTTTATATTTATCGAATTTCTGTTTTTCAGACAATATTTTAGCCGGGGTTTGGCGTAAAAAAGTTGAAGTTTTACAAGAAGCTGCGTGGACAGAGTTGCAACAACGTGTTGCATCTGACCGATTACCTCGCCTTCTTTTGAGGCTTGCACCACTTCGTTCAATTAACCCGAGGGTTTTGGAAGATTTGTTTTTTGCAGGTCTTATCGGTAGAGTAAGCGTAGCTAGTGTTGTGCCTTATATTCTTACTATGCACGATTACAAAACTGAACCTGAAAGTCATATGGGGTGACAATTACTATCTGTGCAATGTAAGTCGTGACCTATCAAAGTGATATATATATATATATATGTATACATATATGTATATATATATGTATATAACGTATGTATACATACGTTAGTGTTGAATGCCTTGAATATTTTTATACACTGAGAAAGAAAGAAAAAACAGAACGAGGCAAAGTTAATCTTTATTTTTCATAAAATGGACTACGATTCTTTACATGCCTCTTTTTAAATAAAGGTGTTGAAACTCAGGGTAGTATTTTAACTTGTTAATCAGATATAATATCTAGTTTATAATGTTCTGATTAACATTCTTTTATTTATTATATATTGACTGCCTGATGTACAAAACTTTCCATATTGTTACTAAAACTTACATTAATATCATTTTCACTGCTATAAATTTATCGTTTCAGTTCGAATGTAGCAGTATCATATAAATATATAAATACAATATATCTGGAAAGTTTTGTATCGGCACACAGTCTAAAAAGAACGTGCGGGGCAATATTATTATACTTATAATTTATTATTAGTGGAAGATTAGCCCTTGACCGAATTAGTAATTTGGTACTGTATTAATTAAAATTTTTTATTTAAAAAGTATAATTATTGAAAAAGTTGATTGACATATTTTTTTTTCAAATTGTTCTTTCGATGTAATTCAAATCTAAAATTAGAAAAAAAATCAAATTACACGTACACTGAGCTTTCCCAAGAAAATTGATATATTAATAATAATATTTCATTATAATCGATGCATTTCCGTCCGTCAAAAGAAGTCATTACCGTCTTAGTTTTGATGAGGATCAAAATTCAAGCGTGTCTTTAGACGTTAATATAAATGCCACGATTTTTTTTAAAGGGTACTATTTGAATATTTGCATTAGTACTGCAAGAAAGTAAGAAAAGATAATAATTCTACATAAGTTTAGTACAAAAGAATCGCATATTTCGTTATTATTGAAGACATTGCTTAATCTTACTTTGACCATGCAACTGAAATATGCACATATTTTACTTATTTTCCTAGAAACTGATCATACTACATGATATATTTCTAGGCTGTGTTTTATTGTAGTTTAAGATGCATATAAAAGATGCATTGTGTTTAATGGTTCTTTCAAAATCATAGGACGTGCAATAGTACTAACTCGTAAAAATGAATTAAACGTGGTAAATATTCCATAATCCTAATGTATTGTCAACATAGGTAATAGAATAGTCAATTTTATGTTTTAAATTGAAAATTGACATAGTTCAAATAATACGATATTAATTAAATTTGTTAAACTTCAAGTATTATTTACTTCTTCAAAAGGGACAATAAAAATATATTTTTTATGGAAAGCAGGAATACTTATCAGATTAGAAGAAGTGTATTAAGAATTAATGTATATGCGTTTACTTAACCGAATGTACATTTTATATCTTATTGTTAACTGTAATTAGATAACCTAATATTGAATATACAGATAGTAGCAAAAGTAGCATTAATGGTTGTAGGTCAAGATTATTGATAAAAAAACAATAATCTTGTATATGTAATGTTATTAATAATGTTTAGATCATTGATATTTTTCCAAAATATATTGAGGTGAGTCGTTAAATATTTTTAAACTATCCAGATATGTTAATGCTCACTGAAAATGTTTTTGCTGGTTATGATATTTCCATAAACATCTTCATAATTTATAAGCGTGTACTATATTTGTAGCAATGTTTAATATCTACTTAAACGTAAGCATCTTCTTAAATTCGATAATCCAAAGATTAAACAACAATACATTTTTTTTACAGATATTCGTGTAAATTATACTTGATTGAAATTTGATATAATTCTTAGACACTACTAATAGTATTCAATAATTTTATTTTAATTAAGAATAGCTACAATTTCATCATAAAATGGCACTGTGGTGCATTGTATTAATGATGATAATTTTGCATAAAATTTAGTCCTGCACACAATGATGTCGACATTGATACATTTGTACCTTCTGGAAGAAACTGTTATTCATTGTATGTTATTATGTACTACAATAGTCTAACAACAAAAGATGTAATCTAAATCAAAATTATCTCTCTATGGTTCATGTATTTTGCATAATGGAATTTTTATGTGTGAAATATTTGAAGGACAATACATTTAAAAAAGATTTGACATGTGCAAGAAACAAATGTGTAAATATAAAATGTGCCTGGATGAAAAAAAAAAATATTTATATTAAATCTAGTAGTTTTGTAATTATGTAAGTTATGAAATTCAAGTGACCTGAAGATTGTTGCCCCCTTCAGTTTTATTATATTGAAGAATTATATGTATATGTGTATATGTACACATGTCTAATTGTGGTATAACGTAAAATAACGCATAATTGAAATAAAAGAATTAACGATTAGCTTGTAAATTTACCTGGAGTTTTTATTTTTAAAACGCGTTATCCCCGGAAAAAGAACACGTATAACTAAAAATGACTCACTGAGGGGGGACTCGGAGGGACCCAAATATTCACAGTTTAGACTCGTCCCTGCGTAGTGACTCACATCCCAAGATTGCTTGTAGAGGCGCTTTGCCGCCATAGCCGCTTTATCCGCTCGTGTTTGTGAATTGGTTTTTCTTATGAAAGTCGGAGTCGTTGAGTGAACTTCGGTACGGTTAGTGGTCGGTGGAATACTATGGACGCAGAAAACGTCGCGTTTGGTTAAGTTCCATTATTAATCCGTTTTTCTCAGCGAGAAAATCAGTGTTCTAACCAACGCCACCGAATATTTTAATGCTCCTGTAAAACCGGCTATTCCACGGACAGGTAGACAGGTATTCCAATCTGTTCGACCGTTTGGAAGTTGGGTGACACACCTCCGAAGAACTTCCCATCTAACTGGTTTTTTTTCTTCACGGAAAATACGGACAGAAGTAAGGTTACACGACAGATATCTGTGGACGTTCATTTTCGGGCCCATTTACACGAATCCGTAAAATCAGTGCGATACGTATCGTGACAGAACGCAATTTGTAAAATATCACCGAGTGTTTTCACAACAGTGTTAAATAAAATGTTGTAACAGTGGTGTTTCCTCCCTCTCGTATTATGCGTTGCTATCTCGTGGCGGGAAATTGGTTTTGAAGAAGTAAACGTCATTAGGTATGTATCGTAAAAATTACATTTGTACGTAACCACGCTGAAAATAATTTACTGGTTTCTTTAATTTCTGTGATTTCAGTGTTCCTTTATCTAATGTGTCATTTGTTTGCATATGTCATACGCAATCGCTATTTCAAGTAAATCAACTTGCGACTCGACGAATCTTTATAAAATATATAGATGACGATTTGGCGGTGCTTACGAGCTTATGCAAATAGATCTCTGACAAGCAACTTTATGTTTCGTTTTTTTTTCCTCATATTGTATTTATCTTGGCAATTTTCGTGAATATTTGCCGTCTAACTTGCGCAACGGAAATGCAATTCATCTGGTAGAAGCGTTGGGAAATGCACAAACATTACGTGTGCCCGTTAAGAAAACCGCTTTTTTTTTTGTTGATAATGGCTTTTTTTTTGCACGCTTCGTTTTCATCGGCAATCATCCCTTCATGATTACAGACGATGAGTTTCACTAGTTTCTTTTTATCTTCAGTTTTCAGCTGGCCTCCCCCCTCTGTGATTATTCTTCGGATAACGAATTTTGAGTTGCGATTAGGAAAATTCTTAATTTTATTCGACGACACACGGGGCACACGGTTTATCCATAACGACCGCTACTGGCTGTACTCTTGCATTACCGAGAATTCTTTGGAGTTTTGGCTTTTCCCGGAAGGCGATGCTTTTTATCTTCTCATCAACGATCTGATTAAAGCTTTCGAAACTTAAAAAAAAACAAAAACAAACGAACAAGCAACACAAATGCCGAAATCGGCACACAAGTGGACATTTTGGAGGTCTCTGCCACATTATTTTATTTTTTTTCGTATTTCATGTTCGTGCACCGAACGTTAACGAATCGCTATTAATGATTTATCGAAGCATTCAACTTCGAATGTAACGATAACTCAGTCCATACTATAATTCATCATTCGTTGTATATACACTTCTGCTGTTACAATCATAACAGTTGTCCATTATTATTTAATCTCGTATCGATCAAAACTCACGCTGCAATAATGAAATACCAATTATCATTGAGTTTTAATGATTGGATTTTTAACATCATTGTACGATTCTTTTTTATTCGTCGGACGATTGTTTCTATTATTATTGTTTCGTTTCGTTTACGTACAGGCATACGATCGACGAATTCTATTGATAATTTAAAATTCACCGATGGTGTGAGTAAACTACAGTTGTACGGATTTACTGCGATCGATTAATAGTGGTTGTGTAATACGTAGAGGTGTGTGTGTGTGTGTACGCGCATACACATGATTATACCTGCGCGCGTACTGTGAAATAGTTCTTTGAAGTTTAACTAAATGTTATGTAAATTACAAAGTAAATTGATCTATTTCATAGAATTTTACGTAGTCAAGTAATTATACATAATTATAATAATTGTACAGTCGTCATACGTTATATACGTATTGAAAATTATTTATTAAATTCATGCACTGTATAGAGTGAAGATTCAGTCTCCGTTTCTTTTGAGGATACAGACCAAGTCAAAAGAGAAAATTGTTCGTTATACATTCATGAAGCCTCTGGGATTCTAGAATTTTTGACTATGATTGAATTTTTTAATATGTTTGTAGACATATTGTTTGTAGAAAGAACAAGTGGAGGGGAAAATAGATAGATAAGGCAGTGATGGGCAAAATCCTAGCAATACCCTTCAAACAAACGAACAATGTTGGAAATGATTATTGAAAAAAAAAAATTGAGTTAAAGGAAGTTGGGATTGTAAAAGTAGGGGCTTGCCATGCGTGGAAGATACTTCGCAAGGGTGTCTCTTATTTTTTTTAGGACGTTTCTGAAGGCGATTTATTTATCTAAAATAGGAATTTTGTAGTCGAGGATTCACAGAATGTGGTGATATTTTTTTCAATTGCACAATGTTGCAAATGATTATTGAATAAAAAAATTGAAACCCTTCGAATAAACCTGAAATTTGCCGATGTGTTTGTCTCGTTTCTTTCTTTGGAAAATGTTCAAAAGAGGAAACGAGACAAACATGTCGGCAAACTTCAGATTTATTCGAAGCCTAGGGTTTTGCCCATCACTGAGATAAGGAACTTCTACACTAAAAAGCACTACTTTAAACAATTTTTCTATCGGTATTAGAAACATTTACATGATCTCATATAGATGTTTTTTATTAAAATATATCAGCTGAATAAAAAAAATATCGATGATGAAATCTCGTAAAATATAACTCTGGGAATTTCCCTATCGAAATATTTTTAAACGAACAATATTCTCTTTAGCCCTTTTTTTAGTTAAAGGGAGAATGTATATCGCACGTATATCGTAGTTTCCATAGCACAAGTAAATGTTTTGAGAAATACGTTGCATCTAATCGGCGGATAGATTCCTTTCGAGATAACAGAATACTTATAAAATTAGTATGTGACGCGTTGATAGAAGTCGTATAACTCGTAGTAAATAAGATTCAGTTAACGCGAACAGCGGTGCTTTCCCAAGTAATGTTCAAGATAAAGTAAGCGCCGTAACCGTGGAAGTGATAATTTCGTTCACTGATGATTTTTTTCTTTTCGTTACCTGTGCTGTCACTTGCGTAGCGTGCTCAGAAGTGTCGAGACAGAGTACTGCTATCGCTCTAAAGTTTTCTTATCGATACAGTACGGTTGACGGATCTCCCGATGAAGTGCTTCAATTTGCTCAGAATATTTATATTGTTGGTTGCCATCATCTCGTATCGAATCGAAACGAATCCGCTAAACGATAACGCAACTAAACGGCGAATTAACGTTTTAGAAAGTGCAAGAGGTCGGCTGGCGACGAGAACGACGAGAATAAAAAAGGAAAACGGAAACGTTCGGCGAAAACTGTGACCGACCCGCCGCCGAAAGAGAAGGAAATCCCCACGTTGGAAGTCCCGGTCTTGGAAGTGAAAAGAAAAACCATGGAACACGCGGTCACGAGATGCGACAACCGTTTGCCAAAACTGACACCCATCACGGACGACTACGAAATCAGTAATCACGTGCTTGGTCTCGGGATCAACGGAAAAGTTGTTCAGTGTTACGACAAAAGTACGAGGGAAAAGTATGCGCTCAAGGTGAGAGATTATTGTCGAAACTGCTTCCGCGAAAAATGCTTTGTTTCATTTCCGTTGATGCTTAGGCGAGTACAAGTTAAAGTGGAACGTTGACCCTAGAATAACAAGCTGAGGTCCAATGAAGCCAAATTCTTTCGTGGTATACAATTTGTAAAGAGCAATAGTTGGCTACCAAGAAGAACGTTTAATGGTGTCAACATTTGGTGCTGTATGCTTGAGGAATTGTAATTGTTATTTATTCGTTGAATCTGGTCTCTGCTGGACCCCAGTATGTAATCAGAGCTGGGTAAAATACGTATTTTAAATAATAAACAGTAAATAAATATTTTATTTCGGATCATGCAAGTATTTTTAAAAATAAAATATTTTATTTGTTACAAAAAATGTTTAAGATAACACTTCAACAAATATCTTATTTGAAAAACACTGAAAATATTTGTGCCATAGTTCGAAATATTTTGTTTAATTTATTATCGGCAGATAAAATATGTTTATTTTACTAAATTATAGTGTAAAGTATATTTATTTTGGTAATTTAAAACGAACGAAGTACTTTTCCTCTGCATTATAAATATACATTCAATGTAGTTCTTCAATGAATACTTCTATCAAGAATTATCAATAGTAAGAAATAGCTTCTCCATCTGTGTATTATATTTACACAGTTTATTTTCAGGTTAAGAGCTATGGAAAGTATTCAATTTTATGCTTTATGTTATTAAAATGAAACATATTATATTTGCTGTGTTAGATTATCAAAATAAAATATTTATTTTCATGCTTCAACTACAGATTACCAAAATACTTTATTTGCTGAAATTTTATGTCCCATTTGAAATGCTATTTTATTTGAATTCCTGAAGAATTTATTATTTAAAATAGTATTTAAAATATTTTCTCTACAAGTATTACCTACCTCTGTATGTGATTCGTGTTTAAATTTTACCTGGTAAGTTCATGTTACATATATTGAATTTACAAGCTTAAGGAAAATTGTGTGACAGCCATGTAGTCTTGAGCACGTGCCTTGAAATAAGCAGATTTGGTATTCAGGGTTTCAGCCCCCTCATCTTTACAATTATTTATAGAAAAATAAGGGAAGGGCCGTTATTTACAGAAAGAATTAGATTTTGAACCACGAATAAACAAGATAGCTAAAAATAAAGTGTGGTGTTCTAGAATAAATGGATTCGATAGTCGACAGTGCAGCTTGCCTGAACGCGGAAGGATCGTTTGAATATTAATTTCCCTTTCAATGAACAAAGCCAACGCACACGTATTGGCACGCGTGCAGCCAAGTGTTATGGAAGTCGGTGGCTACCGTCGCCTATTAAGAATTGCAACTTGTGATGCATATTTAAAATTTCACGCACGAACGAACGTTACAAAACCAACATGTTCGAAACATGCACGCGGAAAACGTCAGGTATCATTTTTATTCCACCGTCGGCGGCGTTATACGCCCGAGATAAAACGTAGCAATATAGTTTACGAGAGTTTCGACTCTTATCAAGCGGCCACGAAAATTATATGTATTATTCTTTTAAGTGTAACGTGACACGATTGTCCTTGGCTATTTTCGTAACAGCGGAAAGATGCTCCAAGGATGAATCTCGATATCTGGCGTTAAACGTGAACGTTAGCGCGCATTTAGAAGATCACCGATCCCACCAATGTATCGATTTCTACTTAACGTAGCGAGGTACGATCATCGACTAACGATGTCCAAGCGAGTCCAGACCGCGAGTCATCCTCTATTTATACTCGATGATTTCCCGTTCGACGATTCCGACCATGCGGTGTGTATCGCTGAGGTCAGAGCTTCGCCCCTTGTTTTCTCCGTTTCTCCTTGGGAAAAATTCGTGGATCCTCGTATTTGTGTCTTCGCGCGACTGATTTGTTGTTCTTGGATCCATAAGTCGCGCGGGAAATTTCGAAGCGCAACGAGAACCGTAAAGTCGAGTGCTGCGCGACACGAAATTAGTGAATCTTGTATTTATGTAAAGTGATTAACTATGGAGGCATAGTTATTATACTGATACATACTTGTCACTTGTTTCCATTCTTCTTATCGTAACTTTGTCTTACATGACTCCTACATTGTTTTAATACTGTTTGCAGTATCTCTTAACTCTCATATCTGTGGGGATAGGCTAAACACGTACTGTAGCTGCACGTTTGCATACTAACAACCCCCGAGGACCACGAAATTAGTGTAGCGTTCGTCCTTGGAAACGTCGCAGAAAATATAGGTGAATTTACAATCTACTTCTGCTACTTTTCCAATACGAATTTGGTGGCTCATGTACATACGTAAACAGGTTCTTTAAAAATACGCAGACGTGCGCACAATTTCTTTTCGTTGCTTACGTACGGCTGCACCGACAGCTTTAGTGGGTTTTACAGGAAATATTGAGTCTCGATGCAAATACCCAGAATGCCAATGACCTATCGCGCGAATCATTCCAAACCCCACGACGTAAACATCTGTTCGACTGGCTTAATAACTGTTTATTAAAATTCTTTTCTTCCATCAGTGTACGCGAATCTAGATGTAGAAATTAATTCTGTGCCTTTTTAAAGTAAACATATCATTTATTTAACGTAACAAAATAGAAGGCAAATATTTTCACTTAAACTTACAAATAATCGAATATAAAGGCACAGAATTAATTTATACACCTAGAACTGCATAGAATTGCATACAACAATGAATATTTTATGCCACAGCAGCCTCTGTATGTATATATAAGTAGATAGATTTATTTGTTCAGCTAACATTTGCCACTGTAATATTCTCATCCAGTATTATTGATTCCCGCGATAACAAATAACGCCTTAAACCCGTTTAAATCATTTATCTAATGACAATTAATTTCTTTTGCACACGGAAGTGTAAACACACGCGACAAAGCAGAGCGGGTACGCGTATCTGACCAAATGGACAGAAATAGCAGATAAGGTTCAACAGAAATATATCATTATTTATATAGTAACAATGATCTCATATTTGCTAACGCTGAAACGGTCGGTACCTTCGAAGGTATTGATCTGTCGAATAATCCAGGGCTGAGAGTTAATATCTTCGCTAGGCAGATAAACGAGTCAGCTGTTGGAACAATTAATATCAAGCAGTATCGCGAGATTCGTCATCTTCCATTTTTTTTTCCTTTTTTTTTTTTACGTAACACGAACGTGTCGCGCAAGTATAGCACGTTAAGTTGTGAATTGTTCCGATTCGATTGTTCCAGTCACGGATATCAATAGACTAGCTAACTAATCCAGATAGATAATCGATTAAACGTTTATACGTAGGGACATGTACAAAGTTTCTGTTACAATCGTACCTACGCGTTACGTAATTATTTCGTAACGTCATAATTAAATTCTTCGTGTGTACCTTTTATCTCGGTTACACAACCGAACAAATATGAATATTTACCAAAATCTTATGTTTATTGATTGCTAAATTTTAGAATTATGATAGAGGGTCGCGTTTTATATTGCGAAGTAGTAGAATATACAATGGAGACGTATACAAAAGCATTGTTAAGAAATTAGTAAATAGTAGTGCAGCGCGGGCGGTTACGTAAATGAAAATAAGACAGAAGCAGTGTTACGTTGACATAAGTATTATCGTAATAATAACTATGTACACGATAATCCGTTTCCTCGTATACAGAAACAAGTCAGTGAAATATAACGGTATGTGGTAAAGCCAATTCAAGTAACGCTTCCAACCTAATTCTAAACTTGTAATTAGTAGAACTTTCGAAACTTTCAAGATAGAAGTTTCTTTTCTTTCCCAATAGGTATTTCAATTTTTTTTTTTTTTTTTACAAACTAGTAATCAACTCTGTCTATGTCGACAAATTTATAGGTAGACTGCGGATCTTTATGCAAAATAAAATCTTCGCGAACGTGCCGACAAAAATCGAACCTAAATAGGAATTTATTTTATTCTCCAAATATTATAACATGAACTTTACTTTCAATATTTTTTATATTCTTCCATATTGTTTGCATTTTGTAGTTTCTTGCATATATTCAAATTTCCTATAAATGCATAAAGATCCGCAGTCTATTTAGAAGCAACTTCCAAATCAATCTTATAATACTTATGGGTCAGACTGTATTGTATATTTATGCAAACTGCTTAAGACTCCTTAAAAACATCAAGGCTTATCAAGGCTTAATGGAGTGATCAAGATTTTCAAGTCGTCGCGATATATCATAACTTCAAGAGCAATCGACACTTTCAAGACCTTCGGGTATCGAATTGTGTTTCAAGTTGAAACATTCAACCGATACGATCCGGTCTCGAGTCTACCACCCGGTATCCGTTTCACCGAACGGATCGAATTATTGGAAATAAGCCACCTGGATTGGTGAAACGATTTTAATTATATTGTTCGACCGTGAAGATATCTGACAGCGAAGACAATAATTTTACTATTCGAGCAACGTAATTGGAAGCTACATAAATTTCTCTTACGACCTTCGGATACCACCGAGGCAACGTCGCCCCTGATCGATAAATTAATTATTATACCGTGCCACGTAGATTGAATTAATGCAATTTATTTTTGTATGAATTATAATTATCAAATTGTAATACGTATGGAACAGACGCCTCTATAACTGTATTAAGGGGTTAGTCGCAGTCAGGAAAATGAAAACGGATACTTTCTTGTGTGTTTTTTTTTAAGGTATTAAATAATAATTTTTATTCGTGAAATTTAAATATATGACAAAATATATCTTAAAGAACTATAAACAAATTTTTGTTTTAAAAGCGGGTCAATTCGTTTCGTCATAACAGGCGATGGTGCGAGTGGCCATTTTGTTTGCGGTGAGGAAGATTTCTCCAAACTGGTATACCTGAAAACAAAAATAAAGGTAGATTTGGAGAATATATTAGACTAACGGGTCCCTGATCGAAGGATTTTGGAAAAAATTTATTTAAAACAAAGTGACGTACATTTGAAGTTGAAGTTCAATTTTCATTATAAAATTAAGTGATTAAATAGAGAATAAAAAGAAAAGTATATAAGAAAATGAAGAATCCTTCGATCAGGGACCCGTTAGTCTAATATATTTTCTAAATCTACCTTTAGTTTTTTTTTTCAGGTGCATCAGTTTGAAGAAATCTTGCTCACCGCAAACCAAGTGGCCCACCCACGCCATCGTCTGTTATGACGAAATGAATTAACCTTTTTTTAAAACAAAAATTATTTTATAATCCTTTAAGACATACTTTGTAATATATTTTCATATATTTACATTTCATTCATAAAAATTATTATTTAATACCTTAAAAAAAACACACAAGAAACTGTCCGTTTTCATTTTCCTGACTGCGACTAACCCCTTAACTTACGTATAACCTGTACATAACAAAGAGCGCACAACTATTATCGTTTCAAGCAAAATGTCTCCAGGCATACTCCAAGAGAAAGCTGTCGAAACGTATTTCCGCGTGTTGTCGTAAAAAAGTCAATATTTGCAGACGTCATGGTACACTGGTGCAACCTAGTTTCTTATTACAAATTCTCCATCGATAATTGATTACCTGCCCTAGACGGACTTGTGTCTTCATTGTTTCACGTTTCTGTTTTCTGAATTACCTCGCTTATCTCTCCGTTTCATTACAAAAAAAATGTTTAACTCTGTGTTCTACCAGTAAAATCTTACCAAAAGGAAGTTAACAGTAGAAGAATTGTTATGTCTCTTCTACTAGCACGGAAAATTTCCATTAGGAATTCCTGAAAAGTGCTGAAAATTATGTTTTTTAAGTCCCTACGAATCTAAATTATGACAAATTTGACTTATCATTTCGTAGAGTATTAGCATTTGTCTGCTACCCCACTAATCGAAAAGATGATTTGGTAAAATCGTTATTCAGATTTCTATCTTAACCTGTACGCCTCTGATGTAATAATACTAGGGAAAAAATGCGAAAAAGTAGAAATGATTTTCCAACTCTATTTTTGCCCATCCTTGAATTTCTTCCTTAACAAATAAAAGATTTCCCGAGATTTCTGGATGTTCAGATGAGAAGGATAAAATCGATAGACATCGCAACACTGATTGACATTTGAACGCATACAACTAACCTCAATTTATGTACTATTCCACGTATTACCTTGTAGATAACTAAGCTTGGCAACCGCTCGTGTAGTTACGACGAGGAAGAGGAAGGTAGGATAATTTAATGTACAGTTTCGCGCGCATTTGCGTCACGTTCGGTTCACTCACACGTCAAACGTTTCTTTTTCCACGTAAAATACGTTCGCGTAGGATGGCGAACATAGCCAACTTACAGCTTCTCATAGAGCTTATTAATAATGCTTCGCGCATATTGGTCCGATCGTCGCTTCGACGCATACAGGGTGTCCCAAAAATGTTGTAACACCTTGAAAGGGGCGGTTCAGGAGGTGATTTGAAACAACTTTTTCCTTAGCGAAAATGTTGTCCGAGGTTTCGTTAAGGAGATATTAAGCGAAATCCCCGACCAATCAGAGCTCGAGTATGCCGGTTGAGCGTAGGCTACGCGCGCTCTGATTGGTCGGGGTTTTTTGTTAATATCTGCTTAACGAAGCCTCGAACAACATTTTCGCTAAGGAAAAAGTTGTTTCAAATGACCTTCCGAACCACCCATTTCAAGGTGTTACAACATCTTTGGGACACCCTGTATCTACAGTGGGTGTACAATGTATTCGTACACCGATCAATTTTCAAAAAAACTTTTGTGTGAAATTGTAGTTTCTTAACTTCTTTTTTTATAATCTATGATATTTTACATACTCTCGGAAGTCTCTAAGATAGATATAGTCCAAACATTTACTAGTTAATATAATTTGTGAAATTAACAAAAAAATGGGAAAAGTGGGTAAAAGTATAGAAGCAATAAGTATTTGTACGATTCTTATGACGAACCATTTACAGCAGAGTTTTTAACGTAAACACATAAGTTTATTGCTCCGTGCGAATTAGAAAATATCAAATTTCCAGGAAAGTACTTTTAAACAGTTGTCCGAATACTTATTGCTTCGATATTTCTATCGATTAATTGTTTTTTTCTTGTTAATTTCACAACTTACATAAATAGCTATTTTTTTTTTTTTTTTTTGTAATCTATCTGTTCTATAGATTACCGAGAATATGTAAAATGTCATTGTTTACATAAAAGTGGTTAATAAATTACAATTTTACATAGTTTTTGTGGTAATCGATCGGTGTACAAATACTTTCTACATCCACTGTATATGACATTTCGTGAAACGCTAATCTCATTATCACGGAATAATACGAAAGGACATCTGTTCGCTGCGTGTGACTGACGTGTTTTCATTTAAGAGCGGACACGGCGGACAATTATGGGAAATAGCACGTATTAAAGCTCGTTAACAATTAAAAGATACCGAAGCGTTAAAAACACATGCTCGAACCGTTCGTTTGCTCGCTAAACGTTTTTCCCGGGCTTTACGCATGGAAACTCGTTAATTCGTGGAACGACAACGTCGTTCTGTATTCCGTGAAGTAAATTCGAATCGAAACCGGTTTCGACTTTCTTTTCCCGTCTGTTTCTCGGAGCTTTAATTGTATTCGAATATTTTTAGAACCGGGGATTATAGCCAATGCTCTAAAAATATTTCACTTAAACATGAGGCAATTTTTTTCTTTCCCTATTTTCATGTCACCGCTACATTACTTTTTTGGGGCTACTTTATACGGATAATAAAACGTAGAAATGGATTTTGTACTGTCGTATTTTACGAATGTTTCGTAACTATGATAACCAAATGCTAATACCAGCAATACATGAAAAAGATATAATTAATCAGACGGAAAATACAATTCAGCATTCTAATTTTCATTGCGAAAACAAAGTATTAATAGGAATAGTTAATAATTGGGTTGAAAGAAACAATGGGATAGTATGCAATTTACCATGGAATTTTAACAATGCTCGCAATCGAAGCAACTGAAATAAAAGACATTTGGACGTTGCCAATAGTAGTTTTGGAACGTTAGATAATGCCTCTGTTCTCTCTGCCAATTGTTTCAGCTCGATCCGACAAATATTTTAAGCCATTAGTTACGGAAACAATGTCTTCTACTTTTTTACACGACACACTCTCAGTTGCATGTAGCGTTCGGAAATATTTCATTACTACAAACGCAGAATTCATCGGTTCTTTTATTCGACAACGTATTTAAATCCGCTTGAATTGTAACAATTGCGCAATAACTTTAGTATGTGAACACGTTGCATTTATTGACCGCTGACTTTAACCAAAGAATGCCAAGTCATAAATGTCAGTGTATCACGAACTACAACTGGTTTTGGTAAAAGAAAAAAGCATATTATATAGTGGAATAAAAGAATACTTAATATAGCATTTCGTTATGAATAAAAACAACCAGACCTAACCCTGACCTAAAACGTTTTTTTTTTTTTTTTTTTTTTATCACTAATAGTAAAAATATAAAAAAATGAAACTAGAAAGCAGAAAACTCGGAAGCCAAGAACTAAATAATTTAAATGAGATGGTAAAGTTTGAGAAACTTATAAGCTTTAACGATTTCACAGCATTACGATGTCAGCTGTTTTTTGGTTCACCAGCATTTCTGAAAGGCGACGACAATCAGTTCATTGATGATGAAACAATTTTTCCGAAAAATTGTTAAAAATCGAAATGACCGCCTGGATATTCTTTTTTAAATATACTATGGCGTATGTTTCACGAGTCAGACAATTATCACTTCTTTAGAGTATTCCCTGTTGTTCTTCACTGATTACATAACTTCATTTGTGTCTACATTGATATTGACTTCTTCGACTTCATGGAAATCTGAAATTTTAAGGAATCGTAATATAAGCATCCATTTTCATATTTCGACGTATTATATATAAAAATTATTTGTAACATATATATATATTTGTTTATAGGTGTTGTATGATTGTGTAAAGGCTCGAAGAGAAGTTGAATTGCATTGGAGAGCATCGAATTGCAGACATATAGTTCAAGTTAAAGATGTATATGAAAACACATACAGTGGAAATAAATGTTTATTGGTTGTTATGGAATGGTAAGATTATACACAATCCAATTTGATGATTTCATTGTGATATTAATATAGATAATATAGGATTAATATAGGATATAGGAGATAACTGTATATTTAAAAATTCTTCAGCATGGAAGGAGGAGAGTTATTTGAGAGAATACAAGACAGACAAGATGGCGCATTTACGGAAAGAGAAGCTGCACAAATAATGTATGAAATTTGTGTTGCTGTGAAGCACCTACATGATATGAACATCGCGCATAGAGATCTCAAACCAGAAAATCTTCTCTATTCCAGACCTGGTATGTTTTTTCATGTGTTTATTTATTCTCCTGATGTTAATGTATGTCATAGATGAATGCTCATAAATATTAATAGGTGAACTTAGAAAATGTGCATATGCTTACTTTATCTTATTTTGGTAACTAAATCTATACTTATTAATTTAATAATGTATTGTGTAATCATTTTCAGATACTACCGGAATATTGAAGCTTACAGATTTCGGTTTTGCAAAAGAAACGCATTTAAAAGATACGTTACAAACGCCGTGTTATACGCCATACTATGTGGGTAAGTTATGTTAAAAATTCCAATCATTTGCCTTGAGTATTTACATCACTAATGATGAATGTATGAATGTAAATGGAAATTAAACATACATATTTTCTATTTGTGAAGCTCCTGAGGTTCTGGGACCGGAGAAGTATGATAAAAGCTGTGATATTTGGTCACTTGGAGTTATCATGTATATATTGTAAGTAAATATATTCTCAAATACTTTTAAACTCGAATCAAATTGTATAACATGCCAATATTGTCCATTGTTATAGATTGTGTGGTTTCCCACCTTTTTATAGCAACCATGGTTTGGCGATATCGCCGGGAATGAAAAAAAGAATTCGTTTAGGTCAATACGATTTTCCAGCTCCTGAATGGTCAAATGTAAGCGCAGAGGCGCAAGATCTTATCAAGGGTATGTTGTGTACAGATCCAGCTAGGAGATTGCAAATCAGTGAAGTTATGCGAAACAAATGGATTTCCGTAAGATTTTCATTCCATTTTTACTTATACAGAGCGATTTTGAAAACTGGAACAAACTGCAACTACTCTCTAAGCAATGAGGACGATGATAGTTCAAGATAATTCCCATTTTGGGGACACAACTTTTTATATGGAGTTTCAGTTTTGTCCTAATCTGTGGAATCACACTGTATATATATATATATATATATTATACGACTACAAACAAAATTATTTTATTATCGTTTATTATGTAGAAACACACGGAAGTACCAGCCACTCCTTTACATACTGGTCGCGTACTTCGAGAAGGTGAAGAGCTTTGGCCAGAGGTTCAAGAAGAAATGACACGGTCTTTGGCTACGATGCGTGTAGATTACGACACAGCTAATTTGAAACAATTGGACCATACGAATAACGCGTTATTAATTAAACGCAGACGGGCAAAGCAATCGAACGCGGTACCCACAGCCGCTAATCCTACGCCTGCTTCCTAGGGAGACGCAACAAGGGCCAGACAGGACTGGTGTATTTTTTTACGTAGGTGGATAAGGTATAGCCTAATTACAATGAGAATTGTTTTCTGACAATTACGGTGCACGAAAGATGAGAGATTACAAACCAAGATTATTTTGAACGAAAGATTATATGTACACACCGAAATATTATAGAAAAGGAAAACACGGAAGCAATGATTCAATGGTATGTCTACATTTGTGCTGGTATACATTTATTTGTTATCGCTAAACAAATATTTTTGATTGCTAACACTGAATAATTGTACTTAAATTTTGGAAGTACTATTATCATGGTATACACATATAGAAAATAATAATAGGTGCATACTTACAAGGGGGAATCTTACAACACTTTAGTTACGGTGCATTTTTTATTTTCTATAGTAAAAATAATAGTACTTTAAAAGGTCTAATAATACAAAACTAAACAACACGTGACTGTGAAGTAAAAATGTGTGTCACGGTCTATATCTATTGATGAAACGTTGACAATAAAATGTTTTGTCAGTAATTACTGCATATACATATAGTACAATGATATACGAGAAAAAAAAAACAGAAATATTCAAGATGTTTCTCAAGTTTACGTAAAATAATGTATAACAGTGTTTTTGGCCTACATAGGACAGACTTAATATCGAAAGTCCGTTATTTACAACACGCCATTTAGTAGCTAATATAACAAATTCCTTGTCATTCGTTTACTTAAAAATTATTTTATAAGATTCGAGAACATTACGTGTATAGCGACATTTTATATATTATTTTTAAATTATTATTCTGCTTTTATTTATCATAATTCACGTATAAGAATTGAATACTTCAGATCATAACCTATATACAGCTAAAAGTCACCCACGTTATTAAAGCAAAGCATAAATAAAAAAGAAATAGAAACAATATACTTCGAAGTGATATTTTGACTGAGGCTGAATATATGTATATATATATGTATGTTTCTTTAATTATTCCTTGAACATTGAAGAAATATGTTTACTTTTTAAACAACTTCTTAAAAACACAAAACTTATAATAATTAGAACGAAGCCTAAAAACAAAGATGTCAACTTTATTGAATAAATGTGTTAGCCATATTTTATTAGATATAATCTAAAATAAAAACTGAAGTGAATTTAGATGAAGAAATTAATTCGATGCCTTAATCGATATGAGGTCAATTTTTAATGTAGCGTAATTTCGACTATAGAATTATTATTAAGTATTTTTATTAGAAACAGATTTAACTTCAGTCAAGGTGCGATAAAATCTCGCAAGTGTGTTAGTGTTTCTTCAGAGATGACTGATATGTTGTAAAATGTAAATATTATATGTATGAATTATTTTTAATAAGATAATTTGTATCTGCACTAATTATTAATAATCAGTAATATTATTAGTAGCCCTCCACAGATTATAAGTAATCAAAATGTCATGATTGAAAGTGGATTTTTTGACTAGTAAATTACAGGCGAACGAAAGTGAGTAGGCCTAGGCCTTAATTTGCTTCTGCAATTCTATGTTATTAAACAAAGGGAAGTTAAATAAAGGTATTGTATATTTTTTATTTGACTATGTTAATGATACCATTTTTTTTATGTATCTGGAATTATACAATACACCTACATAGAATTGTGGAAACAATTTTGTGCGGTATAAATATCACGCGATCGTTATTCAGCTCCTATATTTTCACGGAAATAATAAAACTAGTAATTATAAAATGTATAAAAATAGCAGCGAACTTTAATTTAAAGAAGAAAAAAACAACTTCACAACATTTTCCTAAATCAAAATTATAAATGTAGTTCCTGATGTAATATAAATAATTGTTGCATTGTTGTATTTGATAATATTGCGATAGTACAATTTCCATAGATTAAAATGATTGTATATTATAAACGGAAATGTATAACCTTAATTCGGGCTGAACTACAGTATTGAAATATTTTTGTAATGGATTTAAGTCTGTTGGTTTGCACTGCATTTATGAAACTTGACAATAAATATACAACGTGACGTTACTGAATATAGAATCAGTTCATTATCTGTACAGAATACCATGTGTATCACAACTTTTTAATTATGTTTTTTTTATCTGGTCAAACAAATATTTGTTGTAATTATTTTATTTAAATTCAATCACTAGACAGCTGTTTTAGCTTTCACAGTATATATTTGCGAGTTATACTTAATTTTGTTTAAAGAACTTTTGAAAAATTTCATTGACATTATCCATATAATTTATCATCATTAAATGTCAAGATTAATTCTCCAAGTATATAAATATATATTTACATATAAAATTTAAATAACTTACTTAAGCTAACTACAGTTAAAATGAATCTTATATAAATATTTGTTATAGTTATCTTAATTATAGCATCATGTTTCATATATTATTCAGTAATATTGGCCATGAAAAATAATAAAACATGTGATTAAATCTATAATACATTCCGAGTACTAACGCAAATATTTTTTTAATTCAAAATGTTAACGATAAACAGTAGTTAAAAGGGTTGAGAAATTCAAGCCAAGATTATACTCTATACATAAAAATAGGTAAAAAAACTATAACTACCATGATTTATTTTATGCTCTAAACAATGTAATAAATTTTTGTTTACGTTTTGCGTCCGTAATAGTAAGTTATACGATAACAATGAATGCAAATTCTATACTACTTTTACTGGATAATTTATAAATAAGTACATTACGAATCTTTTACGTCAATATATCACAAGATAAGTTATGAAAAACATATTGGTCTTCATTCTCACGGAACATGAATATTCAAAATTCAAAGTAACGTAAACTTCATTTCTATTATTTAATAGGTGACCTTCTCATATCGGTTTTATTTGAATTTAGTTGATTTACTTCAGCATATCACCAATATTAAATATTTATAATTATAGATAAAAATGGGACACGTTTCATATTTACACAGTTCCTTTTATCTGATTATAATATTTGATAAAGAAATATTATACGCATATTGGAATAGTAAACAGTACACCCATTTAAGTAGATCAGATATTTCTATACATAGTATTGTATCGCGATCATTTTTAATCTTTCGAAATTATTTAATCTGTTTTAAAGCATTTAGTTTTACGCATAAATTTGTCCCTTGCTACATTCTTGCATAGATCGTACACGTAATATTAAATGTAACATCACTTTTTTTTTTATTTAAACAAATTTCGAAAATAAGTTTTCAACATAAGCATAATTTTGTAGATGCAAGACGTAAGATTAAAATTACATTGAACTAAAATATTCTATTAGAAGTATCGTCTATATAAATATGCTAAAAAATATTAGGATGCAAAGGAATGACAAATTTGGGTCCAAAAGGAGACCTGTATGTTATACCAACATCTGCATATACTTTGTTTGGCAATGCAAGATTGCATAAATATAATCTGCCATTGTGAACACTATGAGACAATGGCAATCCACCTAGTAAACTAAATTTACTATCTATACCGGGTGTACCTGCGGCTGGTGGTTCAATAGCTAAAATAGGTGCTCTGTTACTATTTACCCACTTTGCTATCGGGGTAATAACTTCTGGGGAATTTTCATCACAAAGTGCTAGGAGTATCAAATCCAACGTAAACGGTAAATTCTTAACTTTAGTTTCTACCTTATTTCCTGTTAGTTTATATAAAGATAATTCTTGTAAAAGGAATACATCTTCAGAATTTTCTACAAACACTATAGTTTTAACGCCGTGACTAGTTAACTGACGAGCACAATTGACACCTGCAGCACCAGAACGGTGAGGTCCGCATAGCGCAACAACTGTCGGCCATTGGTGTTCATTATTTGGATTAAGTCGATGACTTCCTCCTAACAGTTGCAAAATAATTTCAGCGCCAGCACGGCCAAGAAGTTCCACCTAAATAAAATTTCAAATGTGAAAATTATACTCTTTTATGTCTAAATGCATTATACATACTCTACGTTCCCAACTGATTCCAAGCCGATCCGCTGCGCCTATTAATTGACGATGAAGGTTAAGGGTTATGCTAGGAATTATTAAGCCATTGTCTGTTTTATATTCTTGTTCACCAGCAAAGGGTACTGTTATTTGTCTGAAAACTGTGGGTTCAGAAACAATAATATTTTCATCATGTCGGTATATTGCAGTAGTACCCCAGTTATTCTCTGATTGTCTGACAATATCAGGCTTCAAAGCATTTATTTCTTCCCACACAGCCTACAATAAGTACAACCAAAATTATGTATCTATAAATCTATATCAAAACTCAGAAACTCATTATATGTATATTTTAAGTACATACCTCTTTATTAAATAATGCTAAATTCTTCTCAAAATCGAAGTCTTGATTTAAATACTGGTCAACTGGAGTACCAAATGTGTTTTCATCTCGTTCCAAAGCTCTCTGTCTATGACTTAATCGTTTCTGTATTGGTTTATTAGCAGATTCAGCTAAAATAAAAACATTTGAAGTAAAAAATATATGATATTTATATGATATAAAAGTGATGTTGATTTTGTTTTTTATACCTAATGGAACTCTTCCATTCGATGGTTGTTCTATAAGAGATTGAGTGTTTACATCTGGTTTCTTAATAACAAATTGGGTTTGAGAGGATGTAGTTTGAGTAGAAGATGGTACACTTTCTGAAAAAGATCTTCCAGCTTTTTTAGCAATAGGTCTCTTTACAGTTACTTTATTCTGTGCTGGAGTACTGTCGCTTGCAGCTGATTCTGTCTCGTTAATCGATATAAATTCAACAGTTAATATATCTTTTGTACTAAAAGGGATAAAACATATTTCTTTTAAACACATTTAATTCAATAACATTATTAATTACACATATATTAAGATAATTACATTACCTTAAAACAACTACAGAAGAAGAATGAGGCACTCCATTACAAAAAGCTTTTGCAAGCGTAACATAATCCTTATTTAAATCAACTATCTGACCCTGATAAGTTCCAATTTCTTCAATACACTTAACAGAAACTGTACAGCCCACAAATTGTTCTGACATCTTGATTACCTATTTGTGCATGTTAAATTTATGAATAAAAAGTATCAATACATTGGTTGCTTACATCTTGACTGAAACTAATATTATACTCGAATATTTTTTTCGACCATGTGTTATCAAATTAATCGTGTATATCACACAGAAAAGGTAAATTGAGTGTTATTCATAGTCATTACTTATCGAGAAAAACGAAATTATACGAACCAAAATGTAGACGATTAAGTACGATTTCTAAACACGATCGAGTGTTTTGGTTAAGAATGTCGCAAGTATTTAAAAATTTTGTGGTTATTCCGAAATTTGGAAAACATAAAACGTGTAACGATACATTCATTAATCTGCGATAACGAATACAAAATTTTCACTCATTTTCATCTCTACTCTAACCGCGCACGATTTACAAAGGACTACACAACACGCTGCACGGAAAAGAGGCGAAACTTCATGCTATTGGCGTATCTTTCATAATATCGATTTATCCCTAACAGAAAATACTACAGTCTTTCAAATCTTTATTACAATCAATTATATATTAACGATATTGTTATAAATAAAATAAAAGTGTATACAAAACTTGTAGCTGTATATAAAGATACAGAAATACGAAGCTAGATCAGGGTTTACTTCTCGATAAACACAAGACACAAAAGCCATTGGTTCTTGTTTTTTGTATTTGATTTTCTGTTAACTGCCAATAAGAACATTTAATAGAATATATTTAATGAAAGTTTGATAATTAATGATTTTCAAACTTAACAATGTACTAATTTTTGTATAATATGGCATTTTGTAGTTCTGTTAGTGGTATCGATTAAATCGTTGTAGATCAACTTATGCATTATTTGTATAAAATGTTAAGATGTATACAAATAATTAAGAAAAGAGTAAACATAAGTTTGGTTCTTTGTCGAGGTCCTCGGTTGTTAGCTGTATCCCTACTACCTTTGTTTGCCTCTGGAGGAGGGGATCGTGTAAGTGACCTTACGGATGGAAGTGAAACTAGTTAACGGGAGATTAATCGTATAATTATTAAATTTTCCAGAATTCCCAATTGTTTTATTTACTTTTGTTCAATTATATATAAATGTTTTCATGCGTACTATGAAAATCATTACCAACGAATAATGAAAGATAATCTATTACGATGTCTATTAGTTTCTAGTCACTTTCATTGGTTTCTTGTCAAGTTCAATTCAATTTCTTATTTGAATTTGTCTGTGTTTATCTTTCACATTTCAAATGGCAATTTTTGGAGGACATTTTTACAGGGATAAAAAACAGTTTTTCAAAATAGTTCGTTAATTTGAATTTTTTCTGTTAGGTTAGAATATTTTGTACTATTTCGAAATTTCGAAAGTACTGGTTTAATAAGCTATTAATTATAATTCCTACAGACTTAAAAATTGCCTGTAAGTTTCGAATTATGATTCTGTGGTAAATGGGAACGAATATCTGGTAGAAGTATGTACAAGGTAAATAAGATAATTCATCCTTCAGCATAAAACTAATTATCATATTCATATTGCATTTATGTGTTTGTTCAAGTGTTGTGAATTTTTTATTTTATTTCATTGTTAGATCTATTTTTATATTTAATACTGCATGTGCTTTGGCTTATAAAAAGGATTTTATGAAAATTTATATAGAATGTGATTACATTCAGTTATATATAATAATGTATTTGTTTGTCTATTGTATAAAGCTTATTTAATAAAAATACACAATGTACGAATAGTATTTTACATTCATAGAATGTTACAGTATATATATTTACATGTTAATGTTCAAAGTAACACTTTGAACTACAACACTGCATCTTATGTTAGAAAAAATTATAAATTAATTTATAAATTATTTAAATCTATGTCTTTGCACTTAAGATTATCTATTGCATTATACTTTAATTTATCTGTGATTGATATTGCACCAAATAGACTCGTAGAAAGTACTTTGTAATCTTCTACTACCTGATACATTTTTTTATTTACATCTGAACATTTAAGTCCATTTTCGATTGTCTTATGCCTTTTATTTATACTGTCCTCAGATATTGGAAACTCCTCTAAAATTTGTAATTCTTCTTTCAATATTGCATTAAAAGTAGTTACCTGTAATGTATATATAAATTTAAGTTCGATAAACCAATTGACTTTTAAAACAAGCAATCTCCAAATACATACTCTTTTTGCTCTTTGTTGTAAGTCCTCCAAGCTTTGTTTCATATTTTCAAATTCTGTTTTGCTATATTGTATCCTTTGATGTTTGTCCTCTTCTAACAAGACATTACTTGGCACAGCAATGTATTTATTTACAGCATTCTAAATAACATCACGAAGAAATATCAGTTTTAATTTGTATGCCTATACATTAAAACAAAAATGTGTTTGTACTCTCATATTAATTACCTCTATGCTCTTTAAACATGATTTTGCTCTTTTACAATATGTTCTTTCCAATTGCTTTTCATTTAACTCTAGTATTTCTAAACTTTCAGAATTTAGTTTACATGTTTTCCTAATAGTGTCACACATCTTGTTAGTAGTTTTATGAATTCTGTTAGATATAATATTTTTCACTACAAAAAAAAGAAAGAAGGAAAATATTTTTACAATATTTTATAGCATAGATACAAAAACAATAATATAAGAATCATATATTTATTAATACTTTATTAGCACTCCATTATTTGAAAAATAACAAAAGTATCTATATTCTGTTATTGAAATCTTTATTTTTACACAGAAATACGAGAAAGTAGCAAATAAATCGTTCGTACAGCAAAAACAAGTTCCCAACTACCTCCTGGAAATATCACTTGTATTTATTCGAATATATTTCATAATTCACTCGAGTTCTTGGATAAAAGAAAAAAAAAAGAACACGAGACGAAAGAAAGATGCAATTAGAACTGGATACATATATCGGTATAAGGTCAATTTTTATTTGTTTGCTGTTTCAATTTGTAGCGTGAGAGGAGAGGAGAGAAGAGAAGAAGAAGCGTTAGCCTTTGTGATTGACTTCGTCCGCAAGGTCCCGGTGAAAGTACTCCAAGCAATGGACGAGTGTGACTCTAGTCATGACCAAATCCACATGATACCAGAGTACACCCGTCCAACGATCGGAATATACAATTTCTCATAGCGAGCGTGTCGTAATATCTGAAAAGCATTCAACCGAAAATCAAAAAATCGGCGGCGCCTTACTAGTAGCGTACACGGCTCTTGAATGAAAGCCAAACAGCTGCATTTCGTACTCTTCCAGTTTACGTTTCCGTGATTCCGTGGACGCCATATCGTTAAACGGTATTAAATACACGCGAACTTGTACGGTAATTTCATGCGAACACTTGATAACCTTTATACTTCATCGAAGGCAATCTCTGTTCCCTCCGATGATCACACCTTGACGTCCGTTGACAAATGAACATGGCGTCTATCTGCCTGCGTACGACAGCGTCCTTTGTCCCATTGCGTTCCCTAACGCATCCGGATTTCACAGCGGGACTCGTGGTCGTTTCAAAACCGACCAATGGGATGCGAGTCTCCTCCAATGAAAATCTGTCGATCCAGTTATACCGGAAAATGACCGCGGTTCCTTTTATTCGACTTATTCTATTTGCGCGAACGTATCAATAATTTGCTCGGAAATATTTTCTTACTATTAGTGACAAAGTTTCTTTTTTTTATACACTTGGCAACTCGTATCGCATGTAATTAATAAATTCACTGCGATGCGGTTTCACGTCTCTTCCGCTAGGTGGCGACACTGTTAAGTTAGGTGGTTATTGTCGTTTACATATAATTATTACAGTTTGGGAGATAACTTGTTTGTGAAATAATCTTTTTAGTGGATATAATGATTTGTAATAAGTTTGAACGTGTAATGGACGAATTACAATATTTCAAGACTTTATATTTATTATACATCGAAAGGAATGAGTTTGAAGTTAGCAAAAAGAACTTGTTTCGCCACAGCGTCGGCAAGTACCTAATATTATTTAACGTATATCGTATTGTATAATTGACTAATATATGTTTTCATCGAGCAATACGAGCTGTTAAATAAAAATTGTAACAGAAATTTATAGTTAGACGAGTTTGACTGATATATTCAAAGAGATAAACCATGTGATGCAAAACAAGGGTTTCGTTTGTTATCGTAGAAAGGGAAATGAAATGCATAAGGCTGCCGTTCACCTGGCGGATATAAATTTCAAATATTTGTTGATACGTGCTATCAGCAGTTTAACATGCAAATTGGCAAATATTACCTTCGCTGAAATTTCACTTGGCTTATATTTTACTTACAATTGTACTTGTTCCTTATAGCAGACATTATGAATTTCTTATTTTACAAATATAAAGAAGCATATCCTAATTAGTTAATAATTAATAATGAACAAAATTGACTCAAACATTTAGTATCAGAAAAAATATATATGTATATTTCTGCAAATACGGAATATTCATAGAATATTACCTTTCAAGTGACATCATTGGGACTTTTTGCACAGGTATGAGTCATTTGGTTGATAAGTCATACAACGTAGTCGGTGACTATTTTTAACCGCAATTAAAACATCGTTTTTTCTTAGTAAATTAATCACGTCGAGTGACAACCATATTTACCCCAATATGAATGTTATCTAGAAAAATTAATTTTAGCATAAATCGACATTCTTTCCTCGGAAATGTTGATACCGTGAAACAGTTTTTAAGTAGCATAAAGATAAAGGTATGCAGAGTAGCGAATGTTCCCCTCCGATTCGATTTATGCATAATGACAAAGTGAATGTATGAATCGAAAGAGGTTGGCGGTCAACGAAAGTAACGTGTAAATGTACTTACTGTTCTTGCGCGCGCGCGTGCACCCGTGCAGGGCCGGCTTTATGTGGGAGCAATACTTATTTGGGGTACTTTAACAAGAAAACAGAATGAGCAAGTAATAAAAGTTAATAAATAAAAGGCAATTGTCGTAATATTGTTACGTAATGAAATTTTCAATAGATATCGCTTTATACGTAAAAATTCAGATTTCACTAGTTTTGTAATCAGGGCCAGCGCAAAGCCTCGCGTTTTAAAAGGCCCCGCGGTTTACGAAAATTACTGAATTAAAAGGTACCCATTTTGATTAACTATTTACAGACTGATGATAGCATCAACAAATGGAAGCAATTTTTGCTGAGATGCAAGACACTCTTTTTGTAGCGATGATTAAATTGAAAGGAGTGACAAAAATCATAAAAGTTATTATTGTTTAATATTCATCTTATAAAAAATATATAGCATTTGTAAATAAATAATTCCTCGTTGTGAAATTCAAGTGTAGGATTTGAATGTGAATTCAGGCCCCGCAAAATTTTTGAACTCGGCCCCGTAAAAGGTCACGTCGGCCCTGTTTGTAATTCGTAACGCGAGTTTGTAGGTGGCGCCAAAATTGAAAGTTGTCGTACGTTTGCCTGTCTTTGCAAATTCTTATTTCATCTATTTGCAACGTTGGTACGATTTCTGAGTAGAGTGACGTTTACACGTAGAAATACCGATTTCTTCATTTTCGTAGAAGGCGGTTTATTTTGTATTATTCTGTGGTCGCGATTTCGAGAATCTCTCGGTTTTCGTGCTAATGAAAGCTCAAATACAATTTAGAGGTTAACGTGTCACATCACTTAAAAGAAAAAAAAATTTGTTTTCTACACTTGAGTAATAATTACAAAAGTGATTCACATTGACCATCCGTCCATCATTTTTGCTTGGTGATGTGTCTATGCAAGCAATATTAAACGAATCGTGTTCGATAAATTCAGGGTAGGACTTTATTTACTAACCGTTAGAATTTAAAGGGTAAAACCCCTTATTTAACCCTTTATTTAACACAT